TTGACTACGTCTGTCCTAGCTCGCTCATTAATGTCTTAATCGAAATTACGGATTGCTTCTTATCCGCTCGTCGTTCCCTTATGCCATAGTTTGTACATCTCAATTGTCAGTAGAAACCACATTTGTTTAAGCAAGTCAGCCATATCAGCTATGTTTTAAAAAAAGGCAGGAAATGAGACTGAATGAACAGTTTTGCTGCCAGACAAGGTTCCGCTGATAGCCAGGTGTAGCAGTGGTAAGAATTCACTCCACGGTGCTGAAAAGAAAGCTCTGCTGTTGGGACAGCTTTATGTAGGCCCTAACAGTTTGTGGGCACCGTTTTTGTCACCGTTATAGTGCAATGAATGTATTGTTTAGTGTTGTGGCTTTGCTGGCATGCATATTTGATTTTTTTTTGCCCCACCAACATTTACATGCTAAAATCGCCACTGATTTCTAAGATAGCTGCTGGGATGGTGTAAGTAAAACTAGGCTGCATTATACACTGCAATGGATATTCCAAACCTGAGCCCCGGCCTGCTCTGCTCTCGCTGATGAAAAACGTTTTGATTTGCTGCCTAACCCAATGGCTGTGTTGTGTGTAGGCCTACAGTGGCTGTTCATTTTAATTAGTCTTTACTAACAACAAGAGGGCTTTGTGTTGATGCCTATTTCCTCCTATTTAAGAAATAACATGTAGGCCTACCTGTTTGACAGACGAAATTAGGCTATAGGCTGCTATATCCATAGATTTGTCTGTCAATTCCTCCACTCACCATGCATTCTTTAAATAGCCTACCTCCGTGTCAGTGAAGGGCTGTTAAGTTAAAACCAAGACTCGAACTGAGGGGGTATGAGACGGTTTGCCATAGGCCTACCTTTTATTAAAGAAAATGGCAAAAAGCACAGGCCTACCACTTGTTAGCTTGTTAGCAGATCTACAAGACCAGTGGTGCAGAGAGTTTGTCTTGAGCCTTGTAGGCATGAGCTTCAAGTTCCTTGGCGTCCACATCACTAAGGACCTAACATGGTCCACACATACCCGCACAGTCGTGAAGAGGGCATGGCAGCGCCACTTCCCCTTCAGGAGGCTGAAAAGATTTGGCATGGGCCCTCGGATCCTCAAAAAGTTCTACAGCTGCACCATCGAGAGCATCTTGACTGGCTGCATCACCGCTTGGTATGGCAAATGCACCGCTCTTGACCGCAAAGCACTACAGAGGGGAGTCCGGAGCTGCCTGCCATCCAGGACCTCTATATCAGGCGGTGCCAGAGGAAGGCCGGAAAATTGCCAAAGACTCCAGGCCACCCAAGCCATAGACTGTTCACTCTGCTACCATCCGACAAACGGTACCGGAGCATCTGCTTTCGGACCAACAGGCTCCGAGACAGCTTCTACCCCCAAGCCATAAGATTGCTAATTAGCCAGACTGCTAAATAGTCCATTAAGGGTACCCAAACTATCTACACTAACTCTATCTTGCACTGACCCTACGCACACTCACTAGACTATGTAAACAAACCATATACACACTCACTCACACACACTACATTGACACTCCCACACAAAACCCACTCACATTCACATACACTACATATGCACACACACACATAACACACACACGCAGACCGACACAAACACACATTCATACACATTACACACACACACATGCACACTCTCACAAACACACACACTTTTACACTCATCATTTGCTACTGCTGCTACTCTGTTCTTTATTTTACTCTTATTATTATCTATCCTGAAGCCTAGTCACTTTACCCTGCCTTCATGTATACACTACCAGTCAAAAGTTTGGACACACCTACTCATTCAAGGGTTTTTCTTTATTTTTACTATTTTTTACATTGTAGAATAATAGTGAAGAATTCAAAACTATGAAATAACACATATGGAATCATGTAGTAACCAAAAAAGTGTTAAACAAATATATTTTATATTTGAGATTCTTCAAATAGCCACCCTTTGCCTTGATGACAGCTTTGCACACTCTTGGCATTCTCTCAACCAGCTTCACCTGGAATGCTTTTCCAACAGTCTTGAAGGAGTTCCCACATATGCTGAGCACTTGTTGGCTGCTTTTCCATCACTCTGCCGTCCGACTCATCCCAAACCATCTCAATTGGGTTGAGGTCGGGGATTGTGGAGGCCAGGTCAGCCTCCAATTTTTTTTACTCTGCATTGTTGGGAAGGGCTAGTAAGCAAGCATTTCATGGTAAAGTCTACACCAGTTGTATTCAGCAAATAAATACAATTTTATTTGATGTCCAGGGTTCAAATCCTTGTCTTCTTTTCTTGTATTGGGTTATTGAGATACACAATGACTCAACAAATCTGCCAATCCTCAAGTGGCATAGTACAGTAGGATTGTTCAAGATACAAAATCATGTGTGGACAGACAAGATCGTAGCTTAATCTAAACCTGTCAGTTCCTCATTTCTTTACATCAGGTATTATCAATAATTGAATGAGTCAGCTGTGCCATACTATTAGTGCTGCAGGACAACAAAATAAGTTATTGCAGTCCAAAAGTTAAAATATCGTCTTTTCATATTTTGAGTTGAAATCAGCTACAACAGAAACAAACACAAGAAAGGACAAACTTTCAACACTGGTCTAAATGTATTAATTAAGCATTTCATATTATAACATCAGCTTATTATAATGATGCCATAGACGTGGCAAAGTCATTTCTCGCAGATGTTTGTGGGGAAAACAAAGTAGATCATGTAATTCTCATACACGACAGCTCCGTCCGACATAGAGAGCAATAGTAATGGTGCCTTTTTGTAGGCACTAACTCCGCCATGGTTCGTTGGACAAAGCCTATGGGGAAATGAGTGGAGTTTTTGGATAAACGGCGAAAATTAGGTCTGTGGTAAACACAGGCTTGGGAGATCTTATACGTTTTGTTCTATAAGATCATCTTCATCAGCTAACGTCACTTTTTGTGAATTTTGAAGCATTTATGTAATAAAAAAAAGCACAAAGCACGTAAAGGCTTCATAATTCATAAAGGTCATGTTAAATGACTGATATTATCTCATAGAACAAAACGTAGAAGATCTCCTAAGCCTGTGTAACCTCTGACTTTATTTTCGGCATTTATCCCAAAACCCTATTCTTTCCCCATTCATTTTCCCCATGGGAATGGCTGAACGTATGAGAGGTAACTCATTTCCGGCTTTTAGGACTACAAGCTGGCGAGCTCTATCATCATCCTTATTAATTAATGTTGATGGTTAAGAGGCAGCTCCCCAGAAAACTGCAGATGACTTTGACCTCCGTCTGACAAGGCAAGTATGCTGGACAAGCATTTTGCACAATGATGAGCGCTCTAACTTTCTTGGTAAGATAGCTGGAGGAGAGTAACAGCGCTTTTGTTGACATTTGAAACATAAACATATAAACCATTAACAATATTTCATTCGTTATAATACATTTTAATTACGGAAGTGGAGCTGTCTCTCAGTTAGGGTTTTGACTAGGAGGTATACAGGAACTTTTTCGTAGTAGGTTAGGAGAACTTTCACAACAGGTTAGGAGAATTAGGCTAAGGTTAGAAAAAGGGTTAGGGTTAGCAAAAATGCTCCTAATCTGCTATGAAAAGTCACCTTCGGTTGTAGCTGTCCTCCATCCAGTCACAACCACTGGGTCACAAACCACAGTATTAGGGAACTATTGCTGCCTCTTACATTCCTTATGTCTGTCATGTGACATTTCTTGTTGTGATTTTAGTGGGCAATATTATAAACCCTCAATTAAACTAAATTATATATTGTAATGACTAAATTCAAAGAGAATAATATTTGTGGTATGCCTCTTTCTCTTTTGAAATGAGGACCTTTATTGTGAAGGACTTTTTAAAAAATCACCCGGAAGTACTTGGTCAAGGTCAATGATTTGTTTGTTGTTAGTAAAAGTAATGGGATGTGCAAATGTTGGCTATCTATAGAAAACGGGTTTAGTTTGCTAGCTAACTAGTACATTATTATCTAGCTTGCATCCAGATATCAACCTTTTTAGCTACGTTGTAAGCGCTTAGTATATATTCTAGGCATGGACACTCTATCTAACGTTAGCTTCAAACTCATTAGCTAGCTAACAGTAGCTTGTTTCAGTGGCTTTTTTTATTTTCTTCGCCAACTAGCTATGGATAACATTATTGATCCAGCATCGGAACAAGGTTAGTTTGTGTTAAATGTAGCCAAGTAGCTAAATGTAGAAAAATGAAGTCGTGACTCATTGCATTTTTGTTTTGTTTTTACATGGACCATTCAAATATGTCCTATAGCCTACACATAGCTTGTAATATTATTAACTCGCAGAGTTATGGGATTGATTTGTTTATCTGCAGCGGTGTAAAGTACTTAAGTACAAATACTTTAAAGTACTACTTAAGTAGTTTTTTGGGGTATCTGTACATTACTATTTATATTTCTGACAACTTTTACTTTTACTTCACTACATTCCTAAAGAGAATTATGTACTTTTTACTCCATACATTTTTCCTGACACCCAAAAGGACTCGTTACATTTTGAATGCTTAGCAGGACAGAAATGGTCCAATTCACTCACTTATCAAGAGAACATCCCTGGTCATCTCTACTGCCTCTGATCTGGCAACTCACTAAACACATGCTTTGTTCCTGAATGATGCCTGAGGGTTGGCGTGTGCCCCTGGCTATCTGTAAATAAAAATAAAATAAACATTTGTGCCATCTGGTTTGCTAAATATAAGGAATTTGAAATGATTCATACTTTTACTTTTGATACTTAAGTATATTTTAAACCAAATACTTTTAGACTTTTACTCAAGTAGTGTTTTACTGGGTGACTTTCACTTCTACTTGAGTCATTTTCTATTAAGGTATCTTTACTTTTACTAAAGTATGACAATTGGGTACTTTTACCACCACTGTTTATCTGTTAATTGCTCTTCTCTTCGGTGACAGATCTCCCTCTGTTCTCCTTGCGTCTCCTGGTTCCACCTCTACGCCTGATGTCCGCTTTCATGTGGCAAGTGGCTCAACAGCGTAATGTGATGCAGTATGGGAAGCTGGAGGAGTTTGTGACTTTGGTGACAGAGATGGTTCCAGAGCTGCTGAGCTCCAGGCAGAGGACCCAACTCATCCTGGGACTGAGAGCAAGGGTGAGAAAGGTGGAAATGTTGAGGGTTGGGATGGGAAGAGTCTTATGATGGAACGAACTATGGGCAGCTACTAACTGCAATTACTGTACATATGCCCAGGCCCTGGTCTGATTAATCAGGCTGTAATACACAATTCATTGGTACATACAGCCTGAAACTAATGCCTGCAAAATCGTGTAAATGTTCATTACAAGCCAGAATGTTGAATAAAATTACATTTAAACTTACTTTACCGGTTGTCTGTGCGTTTTGTCCTTCAGCTGTTTGAAATTTGAGACAAAAAACCACAGGAAAGTATTGTTTACACAACTTTTTAGAGATATGGTTAGGCACCTAGGTAAAATGTGTTTTATATTGGATATTCGTTTTTCTCTCGTCAATAGCTATTGAACCAAGCATTCCATGACAATGGAAAAAGGTATATTCTGAATCGGGAGGATGGAGAATATTTTTTCAATATTTTGTTCCCCTACAATTCCACCCCCCAAAATTCTCCATCCTCCTGATTCAGAATATAACATTTTCATTGTCATGGCTATCTTGGAGTGAGAAAAAAATCCAATATATATGTAACTTTACCTTGGTATGCCCTAGACAATACTTTCCTCTGGATATTTTATCTCAAATTTAAAGCATCTTATGGACAAAACGTGCAAACAACCGGTAGAGTGAGTTTACATTTAATTTTATTCAACATTCTGCCTTGTAAGGAATACTTACACGATTTTGCAGGCATTCATTTCAGGCTGGATGTACAAATGAATGGTGTATTACAGCCTGATTAATCCGACTACCCTGTACCTAGTCCTGCTTTTTACATATCCACCTCTTTTCCAGCTGGTTTTAGAGTTGTGTCGCAGTGAGGGTACAGCTGACTTCCTGACCATCCAGGCCCACCTGGACATAATCCACACTTTGACAGAAAAATCCTTACACAAAGAGGTAGGTTAAATTGGTAACAATTTATGAATGAGCCACTGGAAGAACTTTATTTCTGAGAGATGCACTCCTGTACCTTTGTCAGATGTTTTGTTTTCTTGTGCCTAATGACAGAGTCATGGTGATGAATTGGAGGCTTCAGATTCTAACTTTGTGGAGCTGGTTCAAACCCTGCTGGAAGACCCTTCTGAGAGGGAGCATTTCTTCCAGGTGAGGAACTTTCTCTCTAGACTTCTTTTTGATCCTTTTGCTTGAGTATATTTCTGAAATAGGCTACCAGTTGAACGTCAAATACTTAGATGATGTTCAACTGCTCCTCCATTGTTCCCACAAGCAAGGGAGGAGGCTGATGACATCACATCAGACCAACTCAACTCCTTGAATGGCCTACTCCAAAATAGCTGGAGTGCATCTTTTAGAGGAGACATTTGGCACTAGACCCATTTCATGCTAAATTGTCTACTTCACAGGAGGTGTTCCCAGTCCACTATGGCCCTCGGTATGACACAGCGCTGCAGACACTGGTGTGGGAGTTTCTCTCCAGACTGGAGGAGCTGCTGCCTGTACCAGACCTCACACAGGTACTGAGGAAAACATCTGTTCTAAAAGATTGACGGAACATAGCGTGTGGCTCTACAGATGAATTGAATGGTGTTTTTGGTCATTTCAAAACTTGTCTAAAACCTCAAGTGGCTGGAACAACGTATTTGAACTCTTTATTATCCTGTATTCCCTCGGCCCTGCTCCTCTTAGATAACAGCATGGCTCGGTGCTGCCCCCTCTGTCCTGGAGGAATGTAGACAGACTGTCTTTGACCCTGAACAACTGAAGACAGTGATGCAGCACCATCAGCGTCATGGAAACCTGAACAATAGTAAGTCTTCATCCAGATGATGGCTATGAAGTAAATAGTCCAATTGGACACCTCTTGTATTTTTTACTTGGCCAATGTAGGTGAGTGTAACTGATGTTCTCTCATACCCAGGTCATGTCTCTAAATACACTGCAGATACCATCCTGTCCACACTGTCCCTCCCTCCAAAAATGAGAGTTGTTATTAACAATGAGCCGGACAACTCTGACAATGTGAAGACATGCTCAGATGAAGATGAATGCATAGATAATGGGGTAGAGGTCTGGGAATATGAGGACAACAATGAAATCCTGGATGATGACACTGATAGATGTTTGGAGGATCTAGGACTGTCAACATCAGAGCAACAGGAGGGTCTATCACCTGGAGAGACCTCAGCGTTGGTTACTCCAGGACCCTGTGATGGTAAGGAAAATAAAAAAAGGTCAAACACTCATCCATTATTTATGACTAATAAAGTATATGAATTGCAATGTGCAGGTAACTGCCAAAATAATGGAAACACTTGAGTAAATGAGGGATACAAAGTATATTGAAAGCAGGTGCTTCCACACAGGTGTGGTTCTTGAGTTAATTAAACAATTAACGTCCCATCATGCTTAGGGTCATGTATAAAAATGCTGGGCAGGCCATTATTTTGCCTACCATGGCTATGCAAGAGTGGTAACTGAATGGTTTGAGCATGAAAACGATGTTAACTATGTGCCATGGCTGTCGGTCACAGATCTCAACCCAATTGAACACTTATGGCAGATTATGGGGAGGTGCCTGAGACAGTATTTTCCACCACCATCAACAAAGCACAAAATGATGGAATTTCTTGTGGAAGAATGGTGTCGCATCCCTCCAATAGAGTTCCAGACACTTGTAGAATCTATGCCAAGTTGCATTGAAGCTATTCTGGCACGTGGTGTCCCAACGCCCTTTTAAGACATTTTATAATGGTGTTCACCTTTGGTTCGGCAGTTATCTGTGTAAAAAAATATATATATACAGTGAGGGAAAAAAGTATTTGATCCCCTGCTGATTTTGTACGTTTGCCCACTGACAAAGAAATGATCAGTCTATAATTTTAATGGTAGGTTTATTTGAACAGTGAGAGACAGAATAACAACAAAAACATCCAGAAAAACACATGTCAGAAATGTTATAAATTGATTTGCATTTTAATGAGGGAAATAAGTATTTGACCCCTCTGCAAAACATGACTTAGTACTTGGTGGCAAAACCCTTGTTGGCAATCAGAGGTCAGACATTTCTTGTAGTTGGCCACCAGGTTTGCACACATCTCAGGAGGGATTTTGTCCCACTCCTCTTTGCAGATCTTCTCCAAGTCATTAAGGTTTCGAGGCTGATGTCTGATCATGTCTTTGTCAGTGGGCAAACGTACAAAATCAGCAGGGGATCAAATACTTTTTTCCCTCACTGTATATATATATATTACCAGTCAAAAGTTTGGACACACCTACTCACTCCAGGGTTTTGCTTAATTTTTACTATTTTCTACATTGTAGAATAATAGTGAAGACATAAACTATGAAATAACACATAGGGATCATGTAGTAACCCAAAAAGTGTTAAACAAATTAAAATATATTTTAGATTCTTCAAAGTAGCCACCCTTTGCCTTGATGACAGCTTTGCACACTCTTGGCATTCTCTCAACCAGCTTCACCTGGAATGCTTTTCCAACAGTCTTGAAGGAGTTCCCACATATGCTGAGCACTTGTTGGCTGCTTTTCCTTTACTCTGCGGTCCAACTCATCCCAAACCATCTCAATTGGGTTGAGGTCGGGGGATTGTGGAGGCCAGGTCATCTGATGCAGCACTCCATTACTCTCCTTCTTAGTCAATTAGCTCTTACACAGCCTGGAGGTATGTTGGGTCATTGTCCTGTTGAAAAACAAATGATAGTCCCACCAAGCGCAAACCAGATGGGATGGCGTATCGCTGCGGTAGCCATGCTGGTTAAGTGTGCCTTGAATTCTAAATAAGCCACAGACAGTGTCACCAGCAAAGCACCCCAACACCATCACACCTCCTCCTCCGTGCTTCACGGTGGGAACCACACATGCAGAGATCATCCGTTCACCTACTCTGCGTCTCACAAAGACACAGCGGTTGGAACCAAAAAACAGATTTCCACCGGTCTAATGTCCATTGCTCGTGTTTCTTGGCCCAAGCAAATCTCTTCTTATTGGTGTCCTTTAGTAGTGGTTTCTTTGCAGCAATTCGACCATGAAGGCCTGATTTCACGCAGTCTCCTCTGAACAGTTGATGTTGAGATGTGTCTGTTACTTGAACTCTGAAACTGAAACATTTATTTGGGCTGCAATTTCTGAGGCTGGTAACTCTAATGAACTTACCCTCTGCAGCAGAGGTAACTCTGGGTCTTCCTTTCCTGTGGCGGTCCTCATGAGAGCCAGTTTCATCATAGCGCTTGATGGTTTTTGCTACTGCACTTGAAGAATCTTTTAAAGTTCTTGAAATGTTCTGTATTGACTGACCTTCATGTCTTAAAGTAATGATGGACTATCGTTTCTCTTTGCTTATTTGAGCTGTTCTTGCCATAATATGGACTTGGTCTTTTACCAAATAGGGCTATCTTCTGTATAACACCCTACCTTGTCACAACAACTGATTGGCTCAAATGCATTAAGAAGGAAAAAATTACACAAATTAACTTTTAACAAGGCACACCTGTTAAATGAAATGCATTCCAGGTGACTACCTCATGAAGCTGGTTGACAGAATGCCAAGAGTGTGCAAAGCTGTCATCAAGGCAAAGGGTGGCTACTTTGAAGAATCTCAAATATAAAATATGTTTTGATTTGTTTAACACTTTTTTTTTTGGTTACTACATGATTCCATATGTGTTATTTCATAGTTTTAATGTCTTCACTATTATTCTACAATGTAGAAAATAGTTTAAAAAATAAAGAAAAACCCTGGAATGAGTAGGTGTGCCTAAACTTTTGACTGGTACTGTATATATAAATAAATGGTGGTTATGTAATCTTATCTCTTGTATTTTCTCCTTACAGAATTGAAATTGGATAATTCTCTCAACGTAGTGGTGAATGCTGACGAACCATCCCAGGTTCTTACCTGCACCCTCTGCCTCCATTCTCTCACAGTGAAATGGCCAACCTCTGCAAGGACATCAAGATAAACCAAGTAGAAAAGGACAGCAAACAGGTTGACAAGAAAAAAAAGGTGGTCAGAAAGGGGGACAAAAAGAGGGTCATCAAAAAAAGGGTGATCAAAAGGAGAGTGATCAAAAAGAGGGTGATCAAACAGGTTGACAAGAAAAAGAAGGATCCCCTGCACCCCAAAACAGGACTCATACATGTGAGTGTGGGAAGGTTTTCAAAAAACCATCACTGCTGACGCTACATATGGGAGTTCACACGATGCCATATCATTGTGACCAGTGTCCCAAACGATATGCTACTCCTGGGGCTCTGAAAAAACACCAGCTACTTCACACAGAAGAAAGGCCATTCGCATGTGAACACTGTGACCGGAGGTACAGGAGTGCTTATGATCTCAAAGTGCACATACGCAGTCACTCTGGGGAGCGCCGTCACATGTGTATTATCTGTGGTAAGAGGTTTACCCAGCAGTGTACGCTAGTGAGACACATGCGAATGCATGCTGGGGAGAAGAATTATTTATGTAGCATATGTGGTAAGGCATTCCTTAGCTCAGGAGAACTGCGGCTGCATACACGAACGCACACGGGAGAAAACCCCCACACCTGTAAACATTGTGGAAAGGGTTTCAAAGCATCTTGCCAACTTACGGTTCATCTGCGCTCTCACACAGGCGAGCGTCCTTACACCTGCACCCAATGCCCAAAATCTTTCACTACCTCAGACTCCCTGAGAACGCACATGTATACTCACACTGGGGAGAAACCTCACCAGTGCTCAGAGTGTGGGAAAACATTTACTCAAAGGGGTAATATGGTAAATCATATGAGAAGAGTTCATAGACTGGTTAAGATTCTCCAAAAGCACTCCAACAGAAAGACAGACAAAGTCTCGTAAAAATGTTTGAGATCGAAATAATCTTTTTAGGAGTTCATTCGAATCTAAATACTAGAAGTTTGAGACAAGAAATTGCATGCATAATCCTGTTTTAAATACATTATTTTACAGGTCCTCTTTTGTATATCAGATTATCATACCAAAACATGTTTTTCAATAAACTTCTTCAGGTTTGTCATGTCTACACCTGATATCCGAAACTGCATATAACGATAATGATTTTAGAAGCGGAAATATGGTTGACATTGACCCAGTGACATTGACCGGTACATTTACATTTTACATTTTAGTCATTTAGCGGACGCTCTTATCCAGAGCGACTTACAGGAGCAATTAGGGTTAAGTGCCTTGCTCAAGGGCACATCGACAGATATTTCACCTAGTCGGCTCGGGGATTAGAACCAGCGACCTTTCGGTTACTGGCACAACGCTCTTACCCACTAAGCTACCTGCCATCCCCGGTAAACGCTGCATATGTCGGCTCAATCGGAAATAACCTTTAAATTTGAACACAGATCTTCTGTGATACGGATTGAATCCAGCCATAGTCTATACATTTCTCTCCCAGATCTGCAAAACCAGTGGTGCAGAGAGTTTGAGGTCCAGGGTTCAAATCCATATTTTCTTGTGTTGGGTTATTGAGACATACAATATGACTCAACAAATCTGCCAATCCTTAAGTGGCGCATTAGGATTGTTCAAGACACAGAATCATGTGTGGACAGACAAGATCGTAGCTTCTAATATTGTCAGTTCCTCATTTATTTACATGAGGTAATATCAATAATTGAATGAGTCAGCTGTGCCATACTATTAGTGCTGCAGGACAACAAAATAAGTTATTGCAGTCCAAAAGTTCAAATATTGTCTTTTCATATTTTGAGTTGAAATCAGCTACAACAGAAACAAACACAAGAAAGGACAAACTTTCAACACTGGTCGTAATGTATTAATTAAGCATTTCATATTATAACATCAGTTTATTACAATGATGCCATAGACGTGGTAAAGTCATTTCTCTCAAATGTTTGTGGGGAAAAGGAAGTATATCATGTAATTCTCATACACAACAGGTCCGTCCGACAGGTTGGCGGAGTTTCCTTCCAATCATTTACTCTTTGGGCTGGTTTCCCGGACACATCATCAGCCTAGTCCTAGACTAAAAAATATGTTCACAGGAGATTCTCCATTGAACGTGCTTCTCAATCCAAAACTAGTTTTAAGGCTGGATTTAATCCATATCGCTGAAGAGCTGCGCCACAGAGTTTCTAAATCCAGAGGCGCAACATCGAGAGACTTCCGGGAACGCTTGCGAAGCAGACTAGGCCGGGGTTTGAGAAGTCAATGAGAGAAGTGAAAAATTATTCCTTAGTTGTTAATTTTCTCAATCTAAAGGCACAACCTTGATTCATGCCAATATCTTAAGTAGTTGAACATGTTATTACTCAAACCTTGTGAAAGTGACACGTTTTCATTTTTGTCTAATATAACTTTTATATCGAAGGAGTGCCTTTGATTTGATGACCTGCACATGCGCAGTTCGGCACAAGACGACCGTTAGACCCGATGACGTGTTTCTGCGCATGAGCCTAGCTAGCCAATGTCGCCATGTCATCGCCTACAAGTGTGATCAAGGATTTCTATTGGAGAAGCAGTTTATGCCTATCTTCATACTGTACTGTCTTTGGCTGCACGAGAGAAGTGTAAAGGCAATGTTCCTGCATTCGTGGAGACCGCATTCACGGTAAACGTTGCATATGTAGCTCAATCAGAAATTACAAACATTTCAATCGCGCTAGAACGCTGAACTTCAACGTTACAGATTGAATCCAGCCCTTAATCTGTGCCTGGAAAAACCGGCAGTTGATTTCAGACATCATGTTTACAAAGACAGGCTCTTAAAAGACTTATAAGAACACCATACTCAGTTGGTGCAACATTTAAGAACAGTCCTAATAGAAATGTAATGCATAGAGTGGATTAGATTTATTTTTACCCCAAGAGATTTCAGTGCAGAGTCATTCCATGTCATTTCAGCAATCCATGACAGCCACCATCTCAGATTTATCAGAAATTGTTTGTTAGAAAGAGGTAAGATTGGCATTCCTGAAACATTATTTTGTTGAAATGTAATTGTATCTCTCCGAAATTAAGCTAATTGATTGCACACACATTAGCCGTTTTTAATTTATAGGATTCAGATAATTCAATACACAAAGTACCCAACATCCGATTTGGACCAAGAATATTCCTTATGTCTTACTCATTGGTAGGAAGAAGTTTGGTCCAGATTTTGGGTACTATGATTTATTGAATATTATCTGAATCCTATAAATTAAAATGGCCAATTTGGGCACAATCAATTTCCTTAATTTCTCAGATCAAATTCTATTTCAACAAAATAATGTTTCAGGAATACTAATCGTATCTGTTACTAACTACAGAAACGATTTCAGAAAAATCTGAGATGGTGGGTGTCAACCCTCTTTCTTGTCCATTTTGAGGTGGAATTACCCTGCATCTTTGGGCCTGTATTGGTAGGTTGTGTCTAATAACCACCAAAAGATGGGGCACTTTTTAGGGTTTCAAAACCCTATTTGTTTACAGTTTGCATTGTGGTGACCTCTGACCTATTATGACATCATATTTGAGTGAATGCACTGGTCTGGGACCAAGACATGTCACCGTAGAAGACAGATATAGCCATGCAGTCAGTAACATACACTGTGATAACTATGGAATACACGTTATACTTCCATACGTATCTATAACTCCACTATCATCGTAAGCCTCTGGTAATTTAAACAATAAAAAACGTAAATGAAACCAAGCCATTAGTGCATGCACCAAGCTGTCCATAGACTAGCAGGATAAAACAAAAGTTAATTCATATTAGGTACAACTATTGTCTCTGTCAGCATTATGCATTATTTTAAATACAGTACAAAATATTCCATAATACTATATAGTGATTATTTACAATTCAGTAAGGCATGCTAATAGTGTACGTCGTTAACAGCCACTGTTCTTGTGTTAGTGGGTTACAGTTTGGTTACAGTTCGGCGACACAGCTCAACCCTCCTTCATGATCCAAACTAGGACATCAGTAATACTGAATGGAACAAGTTTTAGGTCAGTCTGTTGACCTTGATGTATGTCCACAGGCTATTGTTGGTAGGTTCCTTGGTATCTACTAGTCCACAACCAAACAAAAACCACATCTCACACAGTCCTCTCTCCATGAGGCTGAGGAGCCACACACAGAGTGGAGTTCGATCTATTGACAGATACATTCACAGTCCAATAACAATTCTCTCCATTACAAATGCATCACTTTTAAAGTGGAGGCAGATACAGTGGCCCCTGTAAAGGTATTTACAGGCACGTTCTGTTTGAACAAATTAAGTACATTCAGGTTGACTGCTACCAATCACATTGTCTAACTTGCTTTGGTTCATGTGAGACATCTTTTTAACTTCATAAAAATGTAAGACAATAGACAAACCCACAATTCTTCAAGAGGTTACAAATGAAAAAAGAAAACCACAACACAAATAAGACATTATCTATTAAAACAGAAAATGGTAAGTACAAATTATACAGGCTCTTCCAAAGTAAAAGTGCAACGGAAAACTTACAGCACACTAAAAGATGTCAATGATGAAAGTGAGTAACCACATAAATTGCATAATGTAACATTCTTGCATGTATAATCGATATGAAATGACCAATATTAAGATCCTAGCTAAATGTTTTGTGAGATGTATTCTGCCACCCAGTGGCAGACCAGATTCTACAGCTATCAGTCACAAAAAATCTTCAACAAAACTGATCAACAATCAGTCACTAGATTGCTGTGTTGACCATAAATCAATGAAAATAGTGACGCACACTTTGACAATGGTGCATTGGATCTCTGGAGCATAGCTGCCATGTCTATAAGTATCTGTTGTAATAGCCTTTACTGTTCTTAAAGTCTTTAAAACAGAAAAATACTTATAAGGCAGTCAGATATGGCTATAATACACACCACAGGTCTCACACAAGGTGGCCTATCTGTGTAAAATATGGTTTTCTGACCCATTCCGTTTCTGTAACACATGGATATTAGACTTTTGAGACCTCTATCTTTGTCATGGTTGTCTGAAGATATTTGAATCTCCTCTCTATGGCCTGATCTCAAAAGGACCTTCTTCAGTCTCAACCCCTACAAACATCTGGATTTCCCCATGGTTGTCCAGGGCCAGGGGTAGCAGTTGACTCTTTAGTTAAGTGTCATCACATGACTGTGATTGTGCACTTTACTATTCCATTAGCTTGCTATATGATGGTAACAGGGTGCTAGGTTGTGTTAATACCATATTTCTCACATCTACTCAGTCCTTGTAGATCTTTGAGAGGAAATAGAGAAGTGCACAGAGGTGAGGCTAAAACTTTGTTTGAAATTGGGTCTTCTGTACCTCAAAGATGCATGACTGTTTGAGAACAGCCCAAAGGAGGCAAACGTTCTAAATCCTATAGTCTTGACAAAACTGTTGGGGGTCTCTGTGTGTTCTCATGGGAGAGAGAGGGATCTCATAGAGGAGGAATGGGAAGGATGGCATTGTGGGAGTACAGGGTGGAGATCAGAGGAGGCTAGTGGGGTGAGCTGCAGGAGGAAGCGCTTATTGTAATGGTTGTTTCCATGTGTTTGGTACCATTCCATTGATTCCATTCCAGCCATTACATTGAGCCCGTCCTCCTGTAGCTCCTCCCACCAGCCTCCTCTGGAGGAGCTCCAATGGAGATGATAAGAGATGGATCCTCCAGGGGAGAAGCCAACTCAATTCCAGCAGAGGGTCACTGATGGTAGCCAGCAGAAGGTAAAGGTCAGGGGTCAGACGTAGATGCCCTCAGGGTTGAGGCCTGAAGACACTGGACTCTGCAGAGCCCGGAGGTCACTGGGGAGGAGGCGGGAGGAGCCCAGCCGTTTCAGCGAGCCTGGAGAGAGGGGGGAGGAGGAAGTAATCAAGAAGTCAATGTTAAGTGGTATTTTTAATAACAATTTTTTAGAATTCTTACTTTCAGGTTGAGCAGTTAGTGTGTAGATTTGACTGTGGTGTGACAAAAAGTGACATTACTAGCCATATAATGAGCTTTACAAAAACCAAAGATGGTATATTAACTTCCACTAGGGGGTAGTGTTGGATAATAGAACAATGTTTGAAATGTCTGAGCCCAGATTGGGCAAAAACAATCTGACTAGGATGCTTTGTAATACTTGTGTGTACCTGTGTTATTCTCCTGGTCATTGGGCTGGGCTGGTAGAACAGTGACCTTGGTGCCAGTCTGATGGATGAACTGCTGAAGGTTCACCTGTCTCAGCTCCCTGGTCAATTGCTCCAACTCCTGCTCCTTCTCCTGCAACAAACAACCAGTCAACAAGTCATTTACTTCCCCTGCAGTTTCTCCTGTCACAGTTCCACTTCCCTGTATACTCGGTTTGTCCACTGATGGGGGCCCGTCTGGCCACTCACGGCTAACAAGCAACTTTATAGATTCATACGATGTTTAAAATATTATATTTTTCTCTCGTGGAATTGTATTCCTTTACATTTAAGGCTATTTGCAGGTGGAATTGTTGCATTGAGAACCTTTAAAAACAGAAAATGTACGGTAACATACATGTTGCAGGTGGTTAAACCCACTAATAAAGGAGCGGTCATTCTAGGCCCCAGCTAAGGAAGAGTTGGTTCTATGGAAAGAGTAATGGAAGTCTAGTCTGGTGGAGTAGATCTGTAGTTCTTTTCAGGCCCCAAAATCACCAGTAGTATAATTCACCACCCAAATATTTTTTCTTTTTTTTAACCTCACGCCCACTCTATGGCTGCATTTAGACAGGCAGCCCAATTCTGATATTTTTTCCACTAATTGATATTTTGACCAATCACATCAGATCTTTTCACACCAGCTCTTTTTCAGAGCTGATCTGATTGGTCAAAAGACCAATTAGTGAAAATAAGATCAGAATTGGGCTGCCTGTCTAAACGCAGCCTATGTGGTGTACCCCACCCTGTAAGTAAACGTTACATCATGGGGACTAATAAGAGGCTTCCAAAATGTTCCTACTAAAAACAGTAGGGCCCTATTCAATCAAACCCAGTAACTTCAAAAACAACATTCTTCCCAGGCAGTGAGAAACCATGCTTGAATTAATAAACAGTTCTGTTTCATTGTAAACATGATTTTGTCAAGGACATGAATCCAAACGAATATTCATCAGCGCCAGACGAATGTAAAATATATATATATATATATTCCAGACATTATGCAGCCCTGTAAAATGGGCTTACGTGTCTTAGTTCATTATATTTATTTCTGCAAAAGGTATCATCACAGTATAATCACCATCCAATCAATGATTAATGTTGTTTTCAACCCTATTTTACATAAGGTGTTTGTGTCCTCCAATCAATGATTAATGTTGTTTTCAACCCTATTTTACATAAGGTGTTTGTGTCCTCCAATCAATGATTAATGTTGTTGTTTACAACCCTATTCTACATAAGGTGTTTGTTTATGTACATCATGTATTATTTTCAAAACCATTAGGAATCAATGGTACATTTTAGTATGGCACTTCTCTCTCTATTGCTGTTTCAACCCTTAAGTCTTCATCAGTCAAAGCACATAGGAGCGTAGATTGCAGTGTCTCCAGCACCTGCCTAAAACGCTGAATTTGTGTATGTACAATCAATGTTTTCCTATATATTTGTATTTCTATCAAAGCTCACCTGTAGTTTCTTGCTGGACTGTCCCAGTGAGCGGTCCACAGCCCTGCAGCTGCTCTCCAGCTGCACTCTGTGTTGAACCTGTTGCTCCAGCTCCGCCCTGACCTTCCCCAGCTGGGCCCGGGCCTCCTCCTCGTCCACCTGCCTGCTCATCTCAGTCTCCTGCTCCAGGCCTGCCTCCATGCCCTGAATACGGGTCAGGTATTCCCCCAGCCGGGCCTCGCACTCCCGCACCCGTCCCATCAGCTCCTGGAGCTGCTCCCTCAGCTGCCGCTCGCTCTCCTGCTCGATCTGCAGCTCGTTCTGCCAGAACTCCTCCTCCGACATCTCCACCTCGTTCCTCCGCAGCTGCTGCTCCAGATGCACCAGCTCCTCCTCCAGCACGCTGACACCCTCGACGCACACACCGCCATCACCACCACCTCTCTCCCAGCCATGTAGCTCCGCCTCGCAGCCCTGCAGCCGGCTCTCCAGCAGCTGGAGCTTGTCCTTCTGCAGCTGGACCAGGTGCGCCAGCTCCCGGGCTGGACTGGGGGGCACAGACACCACGCCCCTGCCCTGGTTCAGCACTCTCTGCTGCTGCTTGGCCTCGGCATCTCTGCCCTTCCCAAAAATATCCCTCAGGCCCTTGGCCCCAGCTGTGAAGGTGAGGGACTTACGCTTGGGCTCCCGGCGCTTGAGCGAGTGGTCGTTGGCCGCCGGGTGTAGCTTGGCCAGAGGAGGCAGGCTCTGGCGATAGAGGCCGCGCTCAGGGATGCGGGATGAGCCGTCGGAGTTGGGACGTTCGCTGAGGGAGGGGCCGGTGCGCTGGAGGACCAGCTGCACGTCGCTGGCATACTGGCCCCACTTGTTGAGGGACACCACAGGGTTCTCATGCGGGGCCAAGTGGCGCTCTGTCTCCCGCCATCTCTCGATCAACGTGTACCTGCCAGTACGCCCTGGGAAAGAGAGAATAATTTGATCAGATGAATGAATTGGATTCATATAGAGTTTTACAAAGTAACTGAGCTTAGATTACCAATGTACACTAGTCACGCGGCTGAAAAAGAACACGTTGTTTGCTATTTCTTGCCACATACCAAACGGTGAACCAGTTACAGACAGACCAGTAGCTAGACTACATTCTGCAGTAGCAACAGACTACAGAGTTCATCTACCATTGACTTTGTCATTGTTATCCCAACCCTAATCTGAACTTTTCACCTCAGCTAAGAACAGGGAAACTCTATGGCAGATCCATTCACAATTACCCCGCTTGCTTTCAGACACAGTTTAGTGGGCGGGCACTGTGCAGAGTTTTCAGAGTAATGGGTTGTTTTTTCCAGGAAGAACCCAACAGGAATTTCTCTATTCAAATATAGGAGCAGTTGTTCAGTTCCCATTCATGCTAGGGTTGGAGTACGGTTCAATAAAATTCCTCCAGCCCCAAATCAGTGTGTGTGTGTGTGTGTGTGTGTGTGTGTGTGTGTGTGTGTGTGTGTGTGTGTGTGTGTGTGTGTGTGTGTTCTGCTGCAGATAAGAGCACAAGCCACAGTCTTTCCCCTCTCAACAGCAGAACCACCGTGAAAGGAACACAGTTGTCATTACAGCTGAATCTGGCTGAAGGCCTTTCACATCAAAGTGGCCCTGGGCCAGACAAAAGACTGAACACATACAAAAGAGGCCTGGACCATAACTCCTGTACTGTTGATGAAAAGACACAGCATTTAACTGTTAGTCCTACAATCATGCATCTGTGCATGGATCACAATGGAATAGCATGTACAAATCCAATGGATTCATTTAACCCTTACATGCTACCTCTAGGACCTCCAAGTATTTTCTCTAAAAAAAAATGACCTATGTAAACCATGACATCTCCACAGAATTTTGGTTCTAAGCAGTGCAAAGTGCAAGTGCAAAACTATGCCGGTATGAACTGAAAACAGTATGAACTGAAAACAGTATGAACTGAAAACAGTATGAACTGAAAAAAGTATGAATTCACAGCAGTATTAAATGAAAACAGTATGAAATTAAAACAGTATGAAATGACAGCAGTATGAAATTAAAACAGCATCAAATCAAATCAAATGTTATTTGCCACATGCGCCGAATACAACAGGTGTAGAACCCTTAACCAACGCAGTTAAGAAAAATAAGTATTTACTCAAACTGAAGTTTAATTTTTTTTAAATTTAAATTAAAGAGCAACAATAAAATAACAGTAACAAGGCTATATACAGAGGGTACCGGTACAGAATCAATCTGCGGGGGCACAGGTTAGTCGAGGTAATTGAGGTAATATGTACATGTAGGTAGAGGTTAATGCAAATAGTCCAGGTAGCCACTTGATTAACTGTTCAGGAGTCTTATGGCTTGGGGGTAGAAGCTGTTAAGAAGCCTTTTGGACCTAGACTTGGCGCTCCGGTCCCACTTGCTGTGCGGTAGCAGAGAGAACAGTCTATGACTAGGGTGGCTGGAGTCTTTGGCAATTTTTAGAGCCTTCCTCTGACACCGCCTGGTATAGAGGTCCTGGATGGCAGGAAGCTTGGCCCTAGCGATGTACTGGCCCGTACGCACTACCCTCTGTAGTGCCTTGCGGTCGGAGGCCGAGCAGTTGCCCTACCAGGCGGTGATGCAACCAGTCAGGATGCTCTCGATGGTGCAGCTGTATAACTTTTTGAGGATGTCAGGACCAATGCCAAATCTTTTCAGTCTCCTGAGGGGGAATAGGTGTTGTCGTGCCCTCTTCACAACTGTCTTGGTGTGTTTGGACCATGATAGTTTGTTGGTGATGTGGACACCAAGGACCTTTAAGCTCTCAACTTGCTCCACTACAGCCCTGTCGATGAGAATGAGGGCGTGCTCGGCCCTCCTTTTCCTGTAGTCCACGATCATCTCCTTTGTCTTGATCACGTTGAGGGAGAGGTTGTTATCCTGGTACTATACTGCCAGGTCTCTGACCTCCTCCCTATAGGCTGTCTCATCGTTGTCGGTGATCAGGCCTACCACTGTTGTGTCGTCAGCAAACTTAATGATGGTGTTGGAGTCGTGCTTGGCCATGCAGTCATGGGTGAACAGGGAGTACAGGAGGGGACTGAGCACGACCCCTGAGGGGCCCCCGTGTTGAGGATCAGCGTGGCAGATGTGTTGTTACCTACCCTTATCACCTGGGGGCGGCCTGTCAGGAAGTCCAGAATCCAGTTGCAGAGGGAGGTGTTTATTCCCAGGGTCCTTAGCTTAGTGATGAGCTTTTAGGGCACTATAGTGTTGAACGCTGAGCTGTAGTCAATGAATAGCATTCTCACGTAGGTGTTCCTTTTGTCCAGGTGGGAAAGGGCAGTGTGGAGATCTGTGGATCTGTTCGGGCGGTATGCAAATTGGAGTGGGTCTAGGGTTTCTGGGATAATGCTGTTGATGTGAGCCATGATCAGCCTTTCAAAGCACTTCATGGCTATAGACGAATGAAAGCAGGGTATTGTCGGGCTGAGCCATACTCACACAGACAGTTCAGTACAGGTCCATAATGCAAAGAGGTGAACCTTTAAAAGTGGCTCCATGCTGGTTCTACAGCTATTTCTACCTAGAAGCGGTGGGAACAGACAGCTTCTTTAAATCTTATTTTGTTGCCTCTAGATGTGGCTGGGGAAATAGCTTCTCATACATAAATTCAGTATCATCATGGGAATACAATACAGTCATTATGTACTGTAGTTCTCTATTCTCCTCAGCGAGCATCTCAATGACACAACATCTATGAATCATCCCAACACAGCTCATCTTGATTCTCACAATCTCTGTTCACTCCCAGTCAACTCTCATCTTGGTGCACTCCACTATCTTTAGCATCTTTCAGAAACAGACTGTCAAATATGCTGCATGCACTGTGGATGTGGCAAAACGCTCCACATTAGAATCATTAGAAGATAGGTGAGGATTCAGCTGACTTGACTAATCAGATAAATTGTGGGTGTGGCTCAATCCCATAGAAGTGAAGGTTATGGGGGTGGGGCTAGTGTCCTGTGAAAGGATGCATTCTTACACGAACTATGGTAAGGCTTAAAGGGATACAGTAGTTCACTTTAGTTTGATCTTATTTTCAACTTATCCCTTGAACTATCCCTTTAATTCTTTTTTGGACAATATTGCTGATGGATTAACTCACCAATGGCCTGGGCCAGGGCGATGACCACCTCCTGGCATGTGGTGAGCTCTGTGACGCCACACACGATCCGCTGCACTCCGTCCACCCACACTTTCAGCTCCATTGCTCTCATCGAGGGGGCGTCGTCATTCCTCCTCCACACAAGGGGGCGCTACACAGGATCTCTCCAGCATTCTATAGAACAGAGAAACTGTCAAATGCTGGGTTTACTATATAGCTCTGTGTGTACACTGTATTCCAAAATGCACACACACAAACACTGAAATACAGACACTCACAAACAATGCTAAATTATCCATCTTACTCAGTAGGCCTAGCCTACGTAGTTCCCAAATGTACACATCAGAGGTTCTGGGAAATCACAACTTTCTTGTTGACTACAAGTGAGATGAGACAGTAAAGAAGATGCCAGTTCATTGATGTGAATTAAACCACTCAACATCGCCTCGTACCTTTGACCACATTGCAGCCGTACCAATAATCACAATAACACACCTACTCTAGTGCAGGTTCCCAAACTCGGTCCTGGGGCCACCTCCCCCTGGGCACACATTTTGGTTTTTGCCCTAGCACTACACAGCTGATTAAAATAATCAAAGCTTGATGATGAGTTGTTATTTGAATCACCTGTTGCTTTGTCATATTCCTCTCTTATTACTGCTACAGTCATTATTGGCAGCCAGCCAATCCCATAGAATCAGAGCATTGAATTTCCAAACCGTTGCGGGTTACGGGGAAAGAAAAAGGTTTATACACTGCATCACAGTGCTAGAGGCGTTACTACAGACCCAGGTTCATTCCCAGTCTCTGCCACAACCGGCCGTGACCGGGAGTCCCATAGGGACGGTGCACAATTGGCCCAGTGTCGTCCGGGTTAGGGGAGGATTTGGCCGGTGGGGCTTTACTTGGCTCATCGCGCTATAGCAACTCCTTGTGGCATGCCGGGTGCCTGCAGGCTGACCCTGGTCGCCAGTTGAACAGTGTTTCCTCCGACACATTGGTGTGGCTGGCTTCCGGGTTAAGCTGGCGGGTGTTAAGGAGCGTGGTTAGGCGGGTCATGTTTAGGCGGACGCATGACTCCACCTTTGCCTCTCCCGAGCCCGTTGGGGAGTTGCAGCGATGAGACAAGATCGAAAAAATTCAGTTGGTTTCGAGGTACACATTTAATCAATGGAATAATGGGTTTAATGCAGTGTCGGTCGGTCTATTTCGAAGGCCCTTTCTGATGATGGCGGTTCTATTTGGTAATGCCTACGGGAAAGCTTTCTCTGGTCGCTTGCATGAGGAACCCTTTAAACTGCTGACACAAGCACCTTATCTGAAAGGCACTCATTACAGACCTGGCAAGGCATCAGGCAGATGCAACAGTGCAGATCTGAACCGCTTGCCTCCCGGGCCAGGGAAAACACAGATTCCCATAGTTTAAGCATCTTTTTTTATCCCTCTCGGCCATCCGTTTTCCTGTTTTGTCCCATATCCACTTTCTGATCCTTAACTCCCTAATGACACGTGAGGCGGCAACAGCTCCCTTGCCTCTTTAAGCATCTCCATCACACCTGCTGCCAGCCACACAACAATTCCCTGTCACGTTCCCTCTGGTTTGACACCATCCTGCCATGGGTATCCCTCCAAGACGCCTCTGGTTACTGTGGCCTTCCCTGACTGAGGTAGCCGTTCAGGGGCACCACCCTATGTCTACAGGCCTTTGGACTCCCGGAGGCGGTGTTGTGTTCCACTGGGAACTGGCAGAGTGATTTGTAACTGTAGACAGTTACTGCAGAATCCCCAGGCCAGAGCCGCCTGGTAACTGGCTGTAAATAGGACCATTCCCATGCTGCACACAGCTCAGGGGTAGGAGAGTGAGGTGCAGGCTGCCAGGTGGTAAGTGTTCACATGGAAATTGTATTTTGGGGGGCAGAGGAGGGGGTAAGGATATGGGATTATATGATACAATGTAGAGGTCTGGTGTTTTTCCAATCTAATAAATTATATTCCTCAAGCATTTGATAAGATCATAAAAATACCCTTTGTGGAATACTGAGAAATATGGATTGGGGTATAGAATCTTGACCACAGGACCTCTGAAGGCAGGAGCTGGGTGTCAGACTGAGGAGCTCCCTTTGAGATTCTCTCTCCATCCTCTATTCTCAACATCTGTCATGTGTTAAGTATAACTGAAACCACCCTTCTTCGACTGAGAGCCTCGATGGAAAAACAAGCTCGACTGCTAAGGGTGAAGGATGTCATTACTTCACAAGGGCAAAATTGTGGTGTACATATTGGGGGGGGGGGGACAGTAGATGGGGGGTCCTGGGAGTCCTCCCCAAACATTTTTAAAGACATTTTTAAATGCAAAACAAAGAGCAAATGTATCCAACAAATTTGTAGCATCACAAGCTTGATGTAGTCATTGCGTGCTATGAATATGGGAACAAATACTTAATTTGTCACAATACTTTTGCTCCCCTAAAATGGGACTATGTACAAAAAGTGCAGTAATTTCTAAACGGTTCACCCAATATGGATTAAAATACCCTCAAATTAAAGCTGACAGTCTGCACTTTAATCTCATAGTCATTGTTTGATTTAAAATCCAAACTTTTAGAGTATAGAGCCAAAAGAAGAAAAAGATGCTTCACTGTCCCAATAATTAAAGAGGGGGCCAAATCGACCTGTTCTGAATATGCTCTGATTCTATGGGATTGGCTGGCTGCCAATATTGACTGTAGCAGTAATAAGAGAGGAATATGACAAAGCAATAAGACACTAGAGCAGGGTCCTGGGCCCCCCTGGGTGCACCTTTTGGTCCCCGTGGCAATTTTGCCTATGTTACTTCATCCTGTAAGGCTCACACTCCTCACATCTGACATCTTCAGCACACGTACACAAGGACTACAAAATGTATGAATTAGCACTTAGACTAAAGTTATTTCTTCAATGCAAAAGTATTTGTTTGGGGTGAATATCAACAGTTATGGTTCTTTGGTGGATCATGTATAAATGTCATCTGACTCAGAAAACCCTCTCCAAATTGGCTTTGTAGAAAACATCTGTCTTGCATCAGAATATTGATGTAACTTGGGATGCCTAATGCCATAATAGATGTCATTAAACAATGTGAAATGCATAATCAATTATCATCAATGTGGTAAATAGGCTGTAATGGATGACACAACATCGCTAATCAAATACAGTACTAGTGTTACTGTCTTAATGCCAACTGACACTCAATCATAGTTCTGACCCGAGTTGAACTAACAATGACCACATACACCCAATATTGTGTGTTCCTAATTTGGTATGGACACATCTATGAGAATATGTGTGCTGAAGTAATTTTCCCCTCCATCATAAGATTATCACTTAGTACTGGGTATTAGGCAACCACATGCAAGCACAGCCTCAGAATTGGCAGTGAGAAACTTGAGCCCTTGAGCGTCATTTAGCCTACTTACAGTATTTAAATGCTACACAGACAAAATAGTATAGCTACATGCATAAAACATTTGATAGTGTGTTTTCCTTAATACCTCAATTCTGGTGGTACCACATTCTGGTGGTACCAAATTCACTTTCAGTCAGGAGTGGGAAATGTGGACTTTTCTTCAGTACAGACCTACCTTGACTATAACTAAATCATGGCGCCAGTCTAAAAGGCAAGAGATTGTGTAGCACGATGACCTCAGGATGGCAGGTCTCCTTGGTCTTTGGTGGGTCCCTGCTCAGGGTCCACGCACATTATAATAATATGCCATTTAACAGACGCTTTTATCCAAAGCGACTTACAGTCATGCGTGCATACATTTTTTGTGTATGGGTGGTCCCGGGGATCGAACCCACTACCTTGGCGTTACAAGCGCCGTGCTCTACCAGCTGAGCTACAGAGGACCACATGGCTGAAGCCTGCTTTCCCTAACAGCTGATGGGATACAGTATCTACAGTTTACCCAGAAAGGGTGGCCGTCTGAGTCTGTCTGGCCTCCACTGAAAACCTGGAGCTAAACTTAGGGTTCCCTTTAGCCTGGCCCTCTACACAACCTGCATTCTCTCCATGCCTCGAAGACGGGGGGAGGGGAGGGACTCTACTGCACAGTAAGCTCACAGAACGGTGAAAGGTCTGCAGTTTTGCTAAGCTTCACAGGAGAGAAAATGTTAGAATAGAAGTCGCTGTGGTTGAGCCACATAATAAATTGTTCTTGGATATCATGCTGTTGCTCGTTATTAAATGAATTTAGTTATTTCTTTAGTAAATAGGAAATCCAAATACTATACTAAATCGGTTAAAAGTACGGTTGATAAAATAAACAGATATTATTCTAGATTTTCCACTGGTAAAACCAAAGATGAACAGGAGTGATAGACCAATGCAAAATGGGTCCAAGGATGTGTTCACAGAGGAGGGGGGTTGTTCTAACAAGTGGCACACAAACAAGAAGCATGCTGACGAGGGGACCGCCCACATGGGCAATGCTGGCATGACTGGATGCAAACAATATCTCGCCATGGCAACTGGCCTCTGGATTTGTAAGGCCCCAACACAGCTGACTGGATTGGTTGGCACAGCCCTGGGAAAGAACAAACATTCACTGGTAATTAGGAAATAATCCATGCTTTTCTGTCACTTCACGTTTTTTCTACAATATGGTCAGAGTGGAGTGGACTAGTCTATGGATAAGCATAAACTCTCCTTATCAAAGCTAGAGGTAACACAGATCCTCAGTGCAGGTTATGTCTGGGTAATATTCTATTTTTAAGCACTACAGGCATATTAATTGCTAACCAAGAGAGGAAAGCAGTGGTGCAGCGGATGACATTGAACACGATGACATCATTCAGCATTTTTACTCCACCTCAGCAATTGATGACCTTCACAGCTACACATACTCATCTCACACACAGACTCTGTCTTACATCACAGACACATTTGCAGAATCATAGAAAAAAACACAGCCGCAGCAAAGGACGATAAAAACAGAAGGCACATTTTCTGAATGTTAATGTTGCCTGGGCTGGCCTGGTTGGGTCTTGGTGCGAGTCTTATCCCCCAGTTGATTGTAAGGGGTCAAACAGAGCCCTCTTCAAGCTAGAATCCGCAGTTGAAAGAATAAAGTGCCACCCCGCCTCTGTTTTGGTAAAAAGCTGAGGGATGGGCCTGGACAAATGTAACCACTCTCAAATTAATAGCGCTATGGATGCAAGGACTGACCATCCATGATATGAACAATTATAGTTTTAACAATGTGGAGGCTTTAAAGTGTTTGTTTACATTTACATTGGTTACAAACATTGGAGCAAAAAAAGTTTACATTTTTGGTTATGATGGGGTACAACAGTTAAACTAAACTCATGAGGCATTTATAAGTTATATTCAAGGATCAATTGGAGCCTTCAAAAAGTATTCATACACCTTGACTTAATCCACATTTTGTTGTTACAGCTCGAATTCGAAATGTATTAAATATTTTTTTTTCTTGCACCCATCTACACACAATGTTCTTAGAAAGTTTTGAAAATTTCTTGAAAATGAAATACAGAAATATCTAATTTACACAAGTTTTCACACCATTGAGTCAATATATGTTAGAATCACCTTTGGAAGTCTATAAGAGCTTTGCACACCTGGATTGTACAATATTTGAACATTATTTTTTAATTCTTCAAGCTCTGTCAAGGTGGTTGTTGATCATTGCTTGACAGCCATTTTCAAGTCTTGCCATAGAAGCCGATTGAAATTTAAAAAATGGACCAAGAAAATATTATTTATCTTTCGTCTCTCTGAGTTTCATAATTTTCCTTCAATTCGCAAGAGGCTGAATGTATCTCACAAGAGAAAGCATCAGAGCGAGCGAAAACAGCGCCCCTCTGTCTCTGTATGTGTAGGCCATCTATCTGATGCTGTCTGATCAAAACGAGTATGACATTGTTGCCGACGGTAGCATTGAATGCAAGTTAAGCCAGCGAGCATTTGGCCTCCCTTGATAAAAAAAAGTATAAGATAATAGCTAATGGTCCTGGTGCACCAATGGTCCTGGCGCACCAAAGAAACATGTCAAGGGAAACCAGTTTGGATTTGCTTCACTCCTATCACATTGCATCAAGATAAATACTTCATTGACAGAAACAACTTGAATTGTTGCATCTCGTTGTGTTGTCCTCCGGTGGCTAGCTAGCTAGCTAGCTAGCTAAAATTGTCCCTTTCCTAAATTAGCCATGGATAGAGATAGGGATTTGGACTTGTGGTTTTACTTAATTCTCCATACTGGCCAATGATAACGGCGATTCTGGTCCAACCATAAATCATACATTGTGCCCCTGGACTGAGAGGATGTTAGTTCAATATGTAGCTACATGTAGAAGGTTAATGTTAACTAGCTAACGTTGCCCATAAAAGGAAGTTTGGCTAGTGAGCAAGCATTTTAGCCAGGTATCCTAGGACAACAAAAAATAAAAGCGTGTTCTGTATGACAGAGTCAAAGACCATTTCGTCAACATGAAAGAGAGGAGGACGGCATTGGCGTTTCTCTACAAGTAGGGTGAGTCAACATGTTTTTTCTACTTGCAAGCGCACGTGCACACTCCCACACGCACACACAAAAATCTAAACCATGGGCAGCCACATCATATTTAGCTTACGTTGATTGGACTAAATTGTTTTTGGTCTTTTTTAGTTGTCACTGTATTAGACTAAGCATAGGTGATTTGATGATGTTGAACTTTAAATGGTGCTGGAATAGTGGAGGCAGCTCCTGTTTCTTTGCGACTTGAGGTAACTCTGTGGTTCTAAATCAATAGTTGTTTAGTAGTCCGAAAATGTCAGAAACATTAACTTGCTGTAGGTCATGCAACTGTTTGTTACATGCAATATGCTTTGTGGACTTCACTGGACAGATGTTGCTCTCCGGTTTTGTGATGAAACAAAGGTGTGGTTGAATTTATTCTGCCACTGTGTCTTCTCATCTCGGCCTTAGGCCTATATATCACGGTGTCAAGGCATATGAACTAAGATTTTAAAGCAAACAACACAATTATCACAACACATAGGTTGTAATTTGGCTTTTTTTCCCCCTGGCTTGGCCTTCCCAGTGATTTTACCCACGCACCACTACTGATTGTGGACTAACTACAATGTTGTTGATCCATCCTCAGTTCTCTCTCATCACACTCATTAAACTCTGTAACTATTTTAAAGTCACCATTGGCCTCATGGTGAAATCACTGAGCGGTTTCCTTCCTCTCCAGCAACTGAGTTGGGAAGGACGCCTGTATCTTTGTAGTGACTGGGTGTATTGATACACCATCCAAAGTGTAATTAATAACTTCACCATGCTTAAAGGGATAGTAAATGTCTGCTTTTTATTTTTACCCATCTAACAACAGGTCCCCTTCTTTGCGAAGCATTGGAAAACCTCCCTGGTCTTTGTGGTTGAATCTGTGTTTGAAATTCACTGCTCGACTGAGAGACCTTACAGATAATTGTATGTGTGGGGTACAGAGATGAGGTAGTCATGTTAAACACTATTATTGCACACAGAGTAGGTCCATGTAACTTTTTGTGACTTGTTAGCAAATTTTTACTCCTGAACTTTTTTAGGCTTGTTCTAACAAAGGGGTTGAATACTTATTGACTCAAAACATTTCGGCTTTTCATTTTTTATTAATTTAAAAAGAAAAATCTAAAAACATAATTCCACTTTGACATTATGGGGTATTATGTGTAACCAGTGACACAAAATCTAAATTTAATCCATTTAAAATTCAGGCTGTAACACAACAAAATGTGGAAAAAGTCAAGGGGTGTGAATCCTTTCTGAAGGCACTGTGTATCTTTAATTTAGAAGTCCAAAAATGGATGTAGCAACTAAGGATTCTAGATTTAACAGAGATCTTCTTTCATTTACCTAATTTACCTAATTGTACTGAAATGTTTTGGATGTATTTTATACTAATTGTTGGTATGCTGACGATGCCTTCATGCTTCTGAAACCAAGCCAAGGGAACTCTGTCCTTTGAAACAGCTAATAGAAATGTCAAAGTGGGCGGCTAGTCTTTCAAGTATGGAAAACTGGAAATGTCAATATTTTACCTCAACATATCCCTTGGAGAAAGTGATATTTCATTTTGAAGCAAAGATGGTTTGGAATTAAAACGTTTGGGTGCTGTACTGGAAAGAAAATGGATAGTATTGCTGATTGCTGATTGGCAGTCGGCATCATCAGCCATTTGTCAAATATCTCCATCCCCAACCGTTGCATTCTTCACAATTGTATGAATTGCATGTCCACGTCTCCAAGACATGCCATACAGCCATATTCAGTGGGTGAGATTTGCCCAGGTAAGCCCCTCAGCAGGAAGACCACAGACTTGCCCCACTCTCTGCCCATCTAAAATTACACTTAATCTGATGCCAGCTTTACTGAGTACAGACAGATCCCCAGGCAGCCAAAATCACTTCATTTCCTGGTGACATAGGTTGGAGTAATGACCCAGGCAGAGATGAACTGCTACTGACCCAGTTCTGAGGCTGGGAGGCTAGCTGCAGATATCAGGCATGGCATCACAAACAGCATGGCATTGGCAGAGGAGTTCCTAGGATGGGCCTGCTTAGAATTATATCACAGAGAATTCCCCAAAATTTCCCCCAAACTGGGTATGTTTACAACATTTGTTACAACGCTTGTTTACCATGTGACTGACATTTCTTACTCACAATACCTGAAACTGGAGCCTAGACTGACCTTTCCAGCTGTATATGCAGCGAAACCTTTGTCAGTCACCAAACAACCAGTGTGGCAGCCAAATGGCTCACTGTCATCAGAGTTTAAAGGGGTTCAGTTTATAATGAAGGCAGGCAAGGATGTTAAGTGAGCCTTCACATATGGTCAACTAATGTTAAAGCTGATGCCCAGTTTTCAAATTTAGTGAGCCAATATGAAAGAAAGAGGGAAACGAAATGCACTTTACCACACAGAGAGTTGTCAG